GGGGGATCTGGAAAGGGAGCTGGTCATGGGGAAGGGATCGAACGCGGAAAACGATTGAGCACCCGGTGGCTGGGTGGAGCAGAAATTAGAGGGGCTAGGCGAGGCTCAAGGGCCCAGCCCCTTTGGAGCGAGGCAAGAAAGCCGAGGCTCCCCCCAGACTGCTAGGGCTTTGTGAGCTGAGGGGGCGCTCCTCAAGTGGCAGTCGAGGGGCATTTACAGAGGCGCCTGTGGCAAAAGAAAAAGTGTTCTGTGACCGCTTACTTCGCGTAATGGACGAGCCGCCCCTGGACACATCACACTTAACGTTATGCTAGCGTATTTATTTATTTATTTATTTAGAACATTTAAACCCCATCCACTTCAAGAGGGACTCAGAACGGCTTCCATCAGGCAACAATTTCATGCCATACAATGTAATCACATAATAAAATAACCATATACATAATAAAATAATTATAAATAAACATTAAAAACAGTGCGCCAAGTTAAAAACATCATCCAGCTCAATCCAAAATTGCGGTCCATAAAATCTTTGTCTTCACAAGTGCAGTCCATCTAATCTGCAAACGCCTGATTCCATAGCCAAGATTTCAGTTTCTTCTGGAAGATCAGGAGGAAGGGAGCAGATCTAACCTCTTTGGGAAGAGAGTTCCAAAGACGGGGGGCCACTATGGAGAAGGCCCTGTTTCTTGTCCCCACCAGACGCGATTACAAAGGCGGTGGGATCAAGAGCAGGGCCTCCCTGGAAGATCTTAAAGTCTTTAATGGTTCGTAGGGGAAGATACGTTTGGACGGTAATAAATAAACGGTAACCTGGGCCGGAACTGTTTATTTATTTATTATTTATTTCCAATTTTTCTATCCCGTTCCTTCTCAAGCTCCGAAGGGGGACTCAGGACGGCTTACATTTGGCAGCAATTCAATGCCACTACATATAACAGAGCAATATAATAACAATTAAAACAATTAGTAAAACATTCATTAAAATCATTTGAGTCTATTCCATATCCAAAGTGCTATCTATGTCTGTTGTCCAAAAGCCTGGTCACAGAACCACAACTTCAATTTCTTCCTAAACGATAGGAGGGATGGAGCAGATTTTACTTCAGTGGGAAGTAAAAATCTTGGTTTTGTATCCTGTTTGTTTTTGGATGCTC